CTTAAGAGACTCTGGTGAAGAAACGTCTCACTGGAAAGAAACTTTTGAAACTGTCTCTAAACTGTTTCTGCCACATGTTGCTATATTACTGGTTCATTATTTATTTAATAATTTAATATTTTAAAAATTAATAAAATCAAATAAAAACTATTAAATTAGTATAAGCAAGAGACTCTCATTTATCGAGGCTCTAAAGATCTCCGTGGTTAGAATTCCGGTGGCGTGGGTGGTTTCATCTAGGCGAGCTTTGTTGCTGTGAGCTCCCATCGATTTAGAAGTCTTCGGTTCGTAGCGGCTGCTTGCTTAGGCTCTTCTCCTTCGGCGTTACGAGAATAGGTTTTGGTTTTGTTTCCTCTGGGGATAAATCCTCTTCGTTCTCTTTAGGCCTTCCTCTTTTTTTTCCCTCATCTCTTTCCTTTTCGAAGATGGTTGTAGTTTAGTTTGTTTGGCTCTTGTCTGGTTCTGTTTTGTCTCATAGATCCCGTTATCTTATTCTTTCTTGGTGATGTCGGACTTCGTCTTCGTGGACTGCATGTCGTCTAGTTTGGGTTTATGAGATGTTCTCTATCGAGCTTCTCCTTTGTTTGTGCTTTGGTTTCAGGGTTTGATTCTTTGCTAGGTCCTTTCGTATGGTTTCGCCTTGGTGATGGTTCATTGTTGTGGAGGCATCTACTGAATTCTCCTGTTGTTTTGGTGGCGGGGATTGGTATCAAGACAAAGCAATGGTGAAGATCTTCAGCTTTGCTCTTGCAAAGAGGTGGCAAGTGTATTATCCGTAGATTTTTTGGCTAGTTTGCGAGGTTCACGTGTTGAGTTGCTGATCTTCCTCGGCGTTTTTCCTATCGAGGATCGAGGCTTTGCCTTGAGCCTAGTGTGTGTCGAAGTCCAGTTTCTACGGGTTAGTTGCTGGGGCGTGGTGTTCTTGCTTTGGCCTTCTCCGTTTTGTCTTTCTCTTCGTCCTCTCTGTTGCTAGTAGGGTGAGGTTTAGGGTAGTCTTGTTTGAATTGCCCTTCTTGCTTTTGTTCTTTGGCATAGTGGAGGAATCAAATGGCCCTTTAGAAAGTTGGTAATCGGTGCGGCTTTGTGGCTCGATGTTTGGTTTAGGCTTTTCGTTTCCTTCTCTAGTCGTTTATTGTATCCTTTGACTATCTCTTTCCTATATTTTTTTACGACATAATGACTCGGTTCTCTGTTTTGTTACTTGTAAACTCTAATAAATTTTGTATTATGTTTAAATGGTATATCATTTTGTATTGATTTTTAGATACATTTCTACTATGTCATATCAAAGTATTTAATCCATTTTGTGGTTATCTATGTCATAGTTCAAATCTTACAGATTCGTGAATTCTCAAACCAAATTAGTTTCTGTTTTTTACTCATTTTTTCGTTTAAATATTCTTTCTCCCATACTTCCTCTAAAAAAAAGAAAAATCTCCACTACGGTACAAGATGATCAGTACAATTTCTCATACGATAGATCCATTTTAATTTTCATAGTAAGTGTATAATTTGCTATAAATTTATATTTATTCTTTTCTGATAATCGAATACATATGGACGTTTGTCTCCATTTCTTACAATTTTTCATAACTGAAACGTTAATCTAGATCTTAATTAAAATTCAAATATGTTTTTAATGTTCAAGAGTTGCAGATAAAAAAATTCATAATTGGAATTGCGTTTAACTAATGAAATCGATTTTTTTAATACATGATATTTTTGTTTTTCGTCAGTCTCCATTTTTTGTATAATTTTGGGGTTTTTTTTTAAACTTTGTCATTTACATTTTTATCTTACAGTGATATTTTATGGAGTTATTTTATATATATATATCGTAATTTGGTGTGAGTTTTGAATGTTGTTCTATTAACAATAATACATATTAATCTGATATATCAGACAATATCGGGTTTGTAAATTGATTTTTAAATATCTATTAGTGGAATTAATGTTTAATATAATTAAATGAATTATCAATGTAACATATGTTTACAACAAAACTATCCAAATGCTTAGTATGATTCGTTTTTAAAAGGCTAGAGATTAAATTTTATTTTTTAAAATTCACTAGAGAATATACTCTATCTTTAAGATATAATGACTTGGCTTGGTTCCTTTGACTTGAATAAGTAGTTGTATCATAGATAACAATCCTTTTGCTCCTTTTTGCATCTTTTTGATGATAAGACCTATTAAGACCTTAAAATCTACATATACGAGAAAACTACCTCTTTTGGTTGAAAAACTTTATTAAACATATAGAAAACATAGTAAAATAGATAGTAAAAGTGGTAAAATATGGGACATATCAGGTACAAAACAAACCACTATTTTTCGTTGTTTTTCTCCTTGACAAAGTATAGAACCATCTTCATCGGATAAACCGAACATGGCGCGAATCTTCGAGGTGGCCACCGGTGCTGCATCGTCTAGTGAGGGGAAGTTTTTTGAAGAGAAGTTTCATCCAAAATTTTGGATTGATATTATTTTATCATCGTTAATTTCAACGGAAGCTGTATAGACAACAAGAGAACGTGAAATTGAAATCAAAGCTCTGGAGAGTAAATGGTCATAAAGGCTATTCAAGGGTTACGTTTGAGAAGTGTAAAAGACAACTTTTTGGTGAACACTTGTCAATCACATAAGGCGCCACATGTCGCGTATATGGAGAGGGCTCATTCTTCTTTCAAATATATGATTATCCTCTAAAGGTTATAATGGTTTTAGTTGGTAATAGCCTAATACTTTCAAGAAAATTGATATAAATACACCCACAAAATACAAATTTTAAAGCCGGTTCAATTGATATAAATGTGGCTAATTACAATCAAAATACACCCACGACAAATAATTACAAAACCGGTTCAATACACCCACACCCACGTCAAACAAATTACAAATTATAAAACTGGATGAGTCACATTAAATTTTGATATAAATACACCCACGACAAACAAGTTTCAAAACCGGTTCAATTGTTATAAATGTGGCTAATTACAATAAAAATACACCCATGACAAACAAATATTGATTGATGTATTTTTTTATTTAATGAGCTAAATTTTAGTAGTTTTGTGAGATTAATTTTAGGGGGTATACGTTTTAGCGGGTTAAATTAGTGGAATTAATGTTTGATAAATTTTGCCATGTCATATTTTAGAGAACTAGATTTTGACCCACGCCAAGCATATGGTTAAATAATTATATAGAATGGCTAATCAATTTTAATATATATAATTTTTTAATATTTAAACATGTATGACAAAACATATAATCTATAATCAAACGTAAAAAATGATATGTATTATACACAAAGTTGAATAATTCTGATCAAGCCATGAGTTTTAATTTTTTGTGTAAATTGATTAAAATATATGCAAATGTTATTTATTTTAATATATTTTTAAGTGTAAATTGATATTTATTATCCGTGTAAATTATAGAGCATACGATAAATCAAATAAATTTTAGATTTATCTGAACTTGTCAGACATAACAAATGAAACACAAAATATATGTTTTTCAGTAATAAAATAAATAAATATTTGTAAATTTGATAAACATGTATAATAAACTACATTATAATAAAAATATATGTATAATACAATAATCTAAGAACATATATACACAATATATAATATGTTTATAAATATAATTATAAAACTATCGTCAATATATCAGAAAATATATTGCTATATAGATGATATGATAAATCATAAGTATTACATTTAGTTGGGTTT